GTACAGTTAATTCAAATTTGGGGAGATTTTCCAAGAGATTTCTAGTATAAAGCACACAGAAATAGTTTGTCAGCTTCTTCTTCTGGTGCCAGTCTGAAACCATGTCACTTACTGGAAATCACACAAGAGGCAGGGCATGGAATTCCATCCAGCACACATTCCTGATGGGCAATGGTCCCCAACCTTTTTGACACCAGGGACTGGTTTAGCTGAAGACCGTTCTCAACTTTCCAAGAGATTTCTAGTATAAAGCACACAGAAATAGTTTGTCAGCTTCTTCTTCTGGTGCCAGTCTGAAACCATGTCACTTACTGGAAATCACACAAGAGGCAGGGCATGGAATTCCATCCAGCACACATTCCTGATGGGCAATGGTCCCCAACCTTTTTGACACCAGGGACTGGTTTAGCTGAAGACCGTTCTCAACTTAAGAGAGTGGTCTGGTGCTTGCCTCGCTCCGATCCTTCTTGGAGGACCGTCCTCAGAGAGTACAGCTTGGGGAGAGTTTTTTTGGCCCCGTGGAGCCTCAACTGTGGGGTTCCGCAGGGCTCGATTACCTCCCCAATACTGTTTAATATCTATATGATGGTCACTGGGTGGGGTCATCAGGGAGCGTGGGGCTTCGTGCCATCAGTATGCTGATGACAGCCAGCTCTACATCTCTTTTTCTCCAACCACAGTGGATGCCGTTCCATCATTTCAGTGCTGCCTGGAGGCAGAAGTTCTTTTTTAAAATTGCATTTGGGGTTCTTGTTTCTTCCTCCTTTGAAAGTTCAATCAAAATGCGGGAAACGTGTGTGAAATCCTCCCAATCCTTGATTCAGTGCCAAATGCAATCCTTCTAGAGAGACTTATTCCCAAGGGTCGTCCTATTCACTGATTTAAAATCTGAGGCAAAAGGACTCATTAGAGCCAGTGGAGGTTTCATGTGCAGATGCGTGTGGGGAATCTCCCTGCCTGCCAAGCCAACAATATTCTCCCTTACAATCATAGATAATCTTAGGACTGCAGAGCTGATGGAGCGTCGTATCCAGATCTGTCAAGGAGGGACAGTGGAGGAATCGAACTCCCAACCTCTGGCTCCAGCTATTCGTATTTTTCACCAGAATGACTTTCAGCTGAGGTAAGGGAATAGGAATGATCAAAACAGATGAATTGTGTGTGGGAGTCAAGGTCCAATTTTCTGTAATGTGGTTGGGATACAGAAAATGTTTCACTATTCAGTTGATAGATTGCTTATCTTCCGGAAAGCGTGACTGAAAAATTTTGTGAATGAGGGATGACAATGATGGCTAGATCATCTATCACCTCTCAGGAAGTGAACCTGACAGCTTCTGAGTCTTGGTCCAAATGGCTTGTCTCTTCCTCATAGTGAGATTTCTCGTGGCTTGTTTTCCATTTTTGAGAAAACATGTGGAATTTCTTAGAGATTCTGAGGAGATATGTCTCTGGGAGGCGATATCAAGCTGTACAGAGTTAATAATCTTCCTGGCATATTTCCTGAACACAATTCCCTAGGAAGAGCATCAAGCTTGGGAGAATTTGACAGTTTCTTGTGAAAAAGAACAAATAAAAACCTTAAAAAATTAGGAAAATAAGAATCAGGGTCTCATTCTTCGCACTGATGCCAAGGATGTTTTCACACAGTGGGACTTGAAGGAAGGTCAAGAATGACTACTGTATTTGTTTTTAAACCAGTCCTTCACATCCCTGCTGTCCTCATTTCATTGTGAAAAACACACTCCTTGTAACTGGGGTTGGGCAGAGAGGAGACAGTGCCTGGAGTAAGATGGTGTCATCTGTATCTAAAAAGTAAAAAAACCTGTAGCTTTGTTTAAGCGCAGGTGCCCTCTGGCTTAGTTCCTTCCTTTGGAAAGCTGATACAAGAAGGGCTGATGCAGTGGCTTCCCTTGTGTTCTACTTGTATATGGATGAATACAATAAGTATGAAAGATCCTCTCATCAAACAGCAAGGAAATTCTTCCAATAGCCCTAAATTTAGTGTATGCCTTTGAATGTTGTATGCTAGAAACTGGATTTTGTGATTCCAGATGGAGTTGACCAACGGTACCACTGTTCATGAATTCATTCTGCTGGGATTTGGAGCTGAGCCACACAGACGATTCTTGCTTCTCATCTTTTTCACCACTCTTTATGTGGTCACCTTGGCTGAGAACATCACCATCATCACATTGGTGTGCCTGGATGCTCACTTGTCCCAGCTCCCCATGTACATCCTACTGAGCAACTTCTCCTGGCTGGAGGTGTGCTATGTGACCACCACGATGCCTCGGATACTACTTGACCTAGTTTCTTCTCATAGGACCATCTCCTTCCACGCCTGCTTACTCCAGTTCTACATCTTCTTTTCTCTTGGCACGACCGAATTTTTCTTCCTTTCAGCGATGGCATTGGATCGGTATCTGGCTATCTGCCACCCCCTGCGCTACCCACAACTCATGTCCCCAAATGCTTGCTATTTCTTGGTGGCCAGCTGTTGGGGGCTTGGGTTCTCCGGATACATTCTTCCAGTGACTTTATTCTCCAAGTTGTCTTTCTGTGGGTCTAATGTGATTGACCATTTTGTGTGTGATCTTGTATCAATTCTGAATCTGGCTTGTCCTCCACTTGGGAATGTTCCCCTTGTCTGCCATGTTGTCGTGCACACTCTCTTTTTTGGCAATGTCCTGGTTGTTATCTTATCGTACGGCATTGTAATTTTTACCCTAATGAAATCTAACACAGAAAGTCGTAAGAAGGCGTTCTCCACCATATCCATGCACTTAATGGTGGTGACCCTTTTCTGTGGCTCGGTGGGTGGGATGTATTTAATCCCAGGTGGAGATGAACACTCAGGACTCACCAAGGCACTAACAGTCTTCTATGCTGCCATCACACCCTTTGTCAACCCCCTGATTTATTGTCTGAGGAATGATCAAGTGAAAGAGGCATGGTGACCTTATGATATAGACTATATATATATAAAGAGAGAGTTATGTAGATCCAGAGGCTTCTGACCAAGGCTGGACCTGAGGTAACTCTTTCTAGCTATTAGATGTGTGATGTAGATCACAAATACACATACACATACACATCACTTTTCATTCCATAGGGAACCTAAGGAGGATCATAACACTTAAAATCATACAATAATAAGTTCAAAATACCACACAAAAACTATATATTAAAAAAAACTAAACTTTGGTCAAGATTAAAAACAATTTAAAAACATTTTTAAAAATCTACATTTTACAAAATGAAATGTTCCCTAAACCCCAAATTATTGCTGAAAAGCTGGAATGAAGAAGAATGTCTTTGCTGGATGATGGAAGGAGAAGAGGGAGTGGGTTGACATGGCTTCTTCAGGCAGTGTGCTCCAAAACCTGGGAGCAGCCACTGAAAAGGCCTTCTCTGATGCTTACAAAGCGTTGTTGGAAAATGAGTGGCCCTCTGGATCTTGTTGGACTGCAAAGCTCATCATTCCTTGTCGACTTTGGAAGCCATGGCTGATGGTCATTATGGAAATTATTGCCCAGCAATACATGAGAGGTCATAGATGACCAACCTTTGGTTGACACTCTCCTTAGCTGTCTCTCCTTGATGTCACAAAAGAGCATATTGCTCCAGTGACATCTCCTGAAAAGACCAAGCCTGGTCACTGGAATGATTATGTCCCTGGCGATACAATAAGAATTAATATAACCATTAGAGAACAAACTGAAAAAAAGAAACTATGCAATATACTGTATGATTTCCCTATAAAATTGAATTATTTTTGAGATGCATATTTACAGGTGTGATCATGCAGTTATATCCTTAGCACATGTTGCTGGATTATCAGGAAATCGAAAAGGCTGGGGAGTTGTCCCAACAGAAGCACTGCCCTCATTCTCTACTAGTGTCATACTTCACATCCAACGGGAGAGGAATGTTGTGCCCCCCATCACCCACCTCCACTGGCTTATTTTCAGAAATTACTCATGGGACACTTAACTCCCTTTCACTGAGGGTTCATTCATTACAGTTGGAGATCCCAAGCCGGACTAACCCAATCCTGGCAGGAGAAAATGTCCGGTTTGGTCTCCCAGGTATCAAGGCGGTTGAGATGGGGATAGGACTGCCCTCCCTTGTCTTTTTTTCATGCACTGAATACATTCCAGAAGAGTGGGTTCAACTCTATAGGAGGCTGGGCTGAGTGTCATCTGAGAATTTGGATCCATCATACAGTAATTGGCCACTAAATTCATCCCCTCCTGGGTGATACAGGATTCAAGATACAGGATCTGGGCCAGAATGGTATATTGAATCAGCCCAGCAAAAGGCACAAGTAGGCAGTAAAGTGCTGGGCTTGGATCAAGTAGGTACTGAGTCAGTGAAGAACCAGGGATAGGAAGGTGGTGAACTTGGACCAAGTCCATCATCAACTGAGATATAAGCAGATACCGGCAAGTCTGTAAACAGACACTGATCTTGGGCGAAGTTGTTGTCTTCAGTCAGGACTGCTGAATGTTCACAGTCCTGCATGGGTCACTGAGAACAGAATCCATACTTCCATGATTGAGAGAGATGCCTGGTGGTATGGCCTCAAGATTATACAGTGGTGCCTCGCTTGATGACGACAATCCGTTCCGTTGAAATCGCTGTTAAGCAAAATCGTTGTCAAGCGAATTAAAAAAAACCCAATTGAAATGCATTGCAAACCGTTCAATGCATTCCAATGGGCTAAATACCAGCTCTTTTTGCGAACATCCTCCATAGGGCGGCTGTTTTCCGGTGCCTGTAAAGCGAGGAATCCGTCCTAAAGCACAGTGGGGAGCCATTTTGCACAGCTGTTTCAGAATTATCGTCTAGCAAAAAATCGGTTCCCGAAGCAGGGCACCGATCATCGTCAAGCGAATTTTCCCCTATCTAAACATCGTTTTGTGATCGCAACGTCATTGTAAAGCGGATTTGTCATTTAGCAGGGTAATCGTTAAGCAAGGCACCATTGTAGGTCTTTTCTTTAGATCCGTGGAATCCAGGGCTCTCTACATGCAGGACTGGCTTCTTCCTTTCCAGAAAAGGCATTGTTTAGAAGAGGTAGATGTTGAAAAAAGAAAGCCACGAACCATAGCAGAACTAGCAGCACAACTAGCGGAGTCCTGTTTCCCCAGAGAAATTGGGGGAAAGGTAATTATTCCAGAGAGAACCACACCCATGCTATTTTACTCAACCATTGAATCTACACTCAAAACTAATAGGTAGACTTATTAGTTGGCAAGACCTCAATGAATTCAATTCATTGAATGAAGTTGGTAACTATGCCTGCTGGTCCCAAAGGGAATTTTTAGACCTGCAGCTTTTGGTGTCAGATTGATATGTTGTCCATGTGAGTGGAAGCCAGATCTCCATTAAGAGGTACATCTGGTAAGCCCGTCAGATGGATGAGGGTTGAATGAAGGACCACAGACCTGAAGTGAAGAGGGAATTGGTGATCTCCTTGACTTGCTTATCTTTGAACGTCCCCTTTGTTCCCACAGATGGATGCCTCCCAACACCACAGACTGTGGATACAGCAGAGTTGCTGAGGGTGACATTTGTTGGGTATATTTCTCCTTAGAAAGAGTGTCCAAGGGTCTTCAATGGAGGCCTAAGTCAAGACAATTGGTGTAACTGGAGTAAATCCTTCAGAAGAGTGGAAGGAACTGCCAACTGAAATTTGCCTGGGCCCCTCCTCAGTATCTTTCAAGAAACTCTTAAAAACACATCTATTTCACGAGGCCTTTCAACATTTGCCAGTTTAAGAAGTTGCTGATGATCAGCCTCTTACTCTACTGCTGCCAATTTCAACTTGTTTAATATCTGTTTAATTAATTAAATTAATTTATCGTGTCTCTGACTACATTGTTTTATGTCTTGTGATTGTTTGTAAATCACCTAGAGTGACCATTGGTTAGATTGGTGGTAAACACACACACACACACACACACAGAGACACACACACCCCTCAGGTTTAAGTATTAAAATATCTTGTTCTCTTTTCATTCTAGATCTAAACTGTCAGGTTGACAAAGGCTTTCTGCATTCATGTGGGTTTTCAGCACATCTTTTCAACACTTGGCAATATAAGAATTTGCTAACTATCAGCGTCTTTCTCAACTGCTTCCAATTTTAACTTAACATTTGTTTAATTTTTAAAATTAACTTGT